AGTCCCTCTCCTGATATGATTTAGCCACTGAATACAATGGAAGGCATCGTGAGCCAGTTCTGAACCTGGTGCTCAAGAAGCCCTACATACCTAGGCTCTGTCTCAATGCCCATACCAGGCACTGTATGAACAACACAAACTAGCCTGTGGAAGGGGATGGAACAGAGGGAAGAGAGTACAACACTCTTAGCTAATATCAGACTGGTTCAGCTAGCTTTGGACCCTGGATACACGAGTGAACCAGGACAAGAAGAACCACCTGCTTGATTCCAGCCCAAATTGTCAACCCATAAATTACGAGACAAATAGTTTCTGTTTTAAGTCGCTAATCTGGGGGAAGGTTTTTTTCTGTAGCGAAAGATAATGGATATGGTCTCTTTCCGCCCTACTTTTTCTCCGCTCTGATCCACTGTGGATACAACAATAAAATGTTATTCTAAGAATATAGTTGCTTACTTAAATCTCTCCAATGTCCTCACTTGGCAATTGGGATAAATTCCAATATCCCACAACATGACCTCCAAGGTTCTGCATATCTGGCCTCTAGCCTTCATCCCATGACTCTCACTGTCTCCCATCCGCACATCTGTGCTTGGTTCCTTTAGTGCCCTCGGCTGCTTATCACCTCAGGGCATTTGCACAAATGATTTCTCTTTCATACTTTCCTGGCTGATGCCTTTTTAGTCTTCAAGTGTCAACTTAAATGCTGCTACATCAAGGAAGACTTCTCTGGCCCTACTTCTAAATAGATATGCACTTTTATTAATTCTTTTGACACATTTTGTTAAATCACTCTAGAAAAGATTGTGCCACGTCAACATCTCATCGGTGCTGTTGGAGAGTGTGTATTTTCTTCAACACATTTAAACTATCATTTTTAAAGGTAAAACTTGGTTTTTAATAAAATGCAATACTTTATTATAAATACATTAGAAACTATAGATAAATACAAAGATAAAAATAGAAGCAACCTGGGGCACATGGGTGGCTCAATCCATTAAGCATTCATCTCTTGGTTTTGGCTCAGGCCTTGATCTCAGGGTCTTGAGATCAAGCCCCATGTAGGATTTCACCCTTAGCATGGAGTCTGCTTGAGATCTTCTCTCTCTCTCTGCCTTTCACCCCCTCTCTAAAATGAATAAATAAGTCTTTAAAAAAATAGAAATGGCCTGTTAAATTTGTATCCAAAGGTAATTAGAGCTAAAGATTCATTAAGTTAAAGTTCTTTTTGTGTTCGTACTTAGAGTCACAACCCTTTAGTGAGTGGTGGAATCAGTTCCAGTGTTTTTAATAAAATAGAATAAGGGAGAAAAAAAGAATACAAAAGATAAAGAAGCACCACATGGAGTAACTGTAAGTTTTGTTTCATAAAATGTGTTTGTTACAAATACAGGAATTAATACGTATGTATATGGATCTTATATTGTGATTTAAAATATATTCTTTATTGTGAATCACAGTTAACATATATCCCACTTGCTCCTTAATACATTTCTCTACTTTCATCAGTACTAGAAGTCCATGAAAGAATTGTCTGTACTTGGAATTTCCAACTTCCCTTTGATCCTTTTCTATAAAATTACTCAAGTCAGCCTTTTGCCTGCAACACTTCAGGCACATTTCTCTCACTGAGTTCAGTACTGGCCTCCAGGTGGCCAATTTTCAGACTCTGTCTTACTTGACTATTGGCAGGATTTGGCAGAGTCAATCACTTCTTCCTCCTTTATTTATTGTGTTCATTTGGCTTTTGGAATGCTTGGGATTTTTTTTTCTATCTTATTGGTCACTCCTTCTGAGTCACATTTTCTAATTCTTCCTATTTTCCCCAAATCTGTAACAGTACAGTGCCCCAAAACTCATACCCTGGGTGATTTCCTCCAGTCTTGTGGCTTCAAATACATAGTTGCTGATCCTTGCCATGTATATCTTCCTCGTAGGCTTCACTCCTAAATGTCTAACTCATGTACCCAGTTGGTCAATATTTTAGTTGTGTAATAGTCCACTTATGCTTAAAATGTGCAAAACTAAACTTCTGATTTTTCTCCTCCCAACATAACCGTCTTGAAGTCTCCTCGTCTCAGATAGTGGCAACTCTCCCATTCCAGTTGGTGACTCTTCTCTTTCACACTTCATTCCTCAATCTACCAGAAAACCCTGTTAGCTCTGTTGTCAAATTATATCTAGAACTGACCCGCATTTCTTCACCTCCACTGTTACCATTCTGACCTGAGCCACTATCATCTCTCCCAGGATTATTGCAATAGCCTCCTGAGGAACCCAGCTTCCCCCCTGCCTCCCTTCATTGTCTTCTCAAAGAGAAACAAGCATGGTTCTTTTAAAATTCAAATCAGATAATAACCCTCCTGTGCTCCAAACTCTTGATGGCTCCCATTCTCAGAGTAAGTTAGGAAAATATAAATCTTTACATTGGCCTTCGGGGCCCTAGAGGATCCATCTTTTGTTTCCTTGCACTCATCTTGCAGTGGTCTAACCCCACCTTCAATCCATTTCAAGCACAGTGGCCTCCTTGAGTCCTTGAACAAGCCAGTGCTTGCCCACCTTGGGGCTCTCTCACTAGCTTTTCCTGCTGCCTGGACTGTTCTCCCTCCTCATGTCCATATGACTAACTCCTTGTCCATATGTGACCTTCTAAATGAGGTCCAACATGACCACTTGACTTAAAATTATGATCTCCTTACTCCTAGCAGACCCCCTTTTCCTGCAACATTTTCTCTTCTATTTCCCACAGAACACAGTTTCATATAATTTGTTAGTTTTCTGGTTTATTATGAATATGTATTTTAAAAAAATATCTCCCCTCACCATAGTGTTAGATACATAAAGGCAGGAAATTTTTCTCTATTGTAGTAGCCTCAGTATTTGTTTCAGAAATGGGTCACATAATAATTTCTGTAGTGGTTTAGCATCTTTTAAACTTAGCAAGATTGGGTGCCTCGGTGGCTCAGTTGGTTAAGCGACTGCCTTCGGCTCAGGTCATGATCCCGGAGTCCTGGGATCGAGTCCCACATCGGGCTCCCTGCTTGGTAGGGAGTCTGCTTCTCCCTCTGACCTTCCTCCTTCTCATGCTCTCTCTCTACCATTCTCTCTCTCTCTCAATAAATAAAAATCTTTAAAAAATCTTTAAAAAAAATAAACTCAGCAAGATTTTAGAGCTAACTATACAAATACGTAATAGAATCAAAACCTGTTATTTATTTTTTGCTCTAAGGAATTTATATATATTTATATTTTATGTATTTGCATTATTTAAGACAGTTTGATCTATTAGAATACCAAATCTAACTTGTAATTCTAATTTTAAATTTGTAATAGAGCAAATAATTTGTACTTTTTTAAAATCAACTTCACTGAGGTTAAAGTTATAGTTAATGAAATTCAAAATATTAGGCTTGTTATTTAAAACTGAAATTTTACCATGTCTATCACAGTCTGGAAACATTTAAAAGGATTTGGGATTAGCCATAGTCGTAATTTTTTGTTTATTCTCTTTATATTATAAAGGTTGTTTTTAAAACCTGTGGAGGCTTTAAGTCAGAAAATTGAGGTGCTTAAAAACAAGAGTGTATATCATATTTAAATGTGGTTTAAAAGGATTTAATTGCCAAGTTTATAAATCAGACCAAATATTTGTCAAACATCTTTCATAACAAATGATAAAATCTATTAGATTTGTACAGGGAATACTGAGGTTTTTAAGCAGGAATTCAAGTATCAAATAACTAGATTCCTTAATATTTACCTCAAATAAATTTAGTTTGACTTTATAACCAAAGAAACTTCTGTATAATTTTCTTTACACAGAAATGTTTTTTCTTAAGTTTCCAGAAGCTCACAAAAATATAGGAGAGGATTTGCGTTTCCAGGAGTGAGGGGATAAACGATGCTGCTGGTCCCCCAGGACGCAGCTCGCTCTTCTTCCTCATCAACACTCCCAAATGGACTTACTCTATGAAACCCCTAACAGTTGTCTTGTGTTCTTGGTTTGCTTCCCACAGAAGCTGAACCAACATTTCTTTTTCTAGAGACATTTCACTCAGCCCCTAAAACTACTCATGTACTTTGGGAGGAAGGCAGAGACCTTCATCCCAGAGGATAGAATGCATGTGATTTTTTGAGTATAGTTTCCACGGCAGAGAGGGAGCTAGGGAGAAACAGCTCCCGGGGCAGAAAGGCAGTAAGAACAAAGACACCAAGGTGAAACTGATGTTGATATTTTGATACAACCTAACACAAACAGAGCATTTTAATATAATGATGTTAATTTTAAAAATGGGCAAGTATATGTCTTTACATAATTTATGTGTTTTTTTGCTTTGGTCCCAAGCCTATATATTTCATCTATTCAATCTTTCAGTTTCCAAAGTTGTCTGCTCTGGAATTTTTAAGAAAATGTGAAACATAACCACAATGGCGTTGATGATGGCAGGATGACACAGATGTCACAAAGCCAGTGGCTGTATGTGCTGCATTGTCACTGTCACGTGTCAGAGCACAATCTGGGATGAGTGTTAGGAATCAGAGCTCCTAGTGCAGGCTAAAACCATCTCACCGCTGCACAGCTTGTTAATTTTTTAAACTGAAAAAAAAAAGAACCTGATATAAATGTATTGTGTATATAAAATAAAAGAGCAGGAAAGGGGAGTGTTTTGATATGTAAGAAATAAGTATGATTATTGTTCAGCCTGGTATTTGCCATTGATTTGGAGAAGAGAATACCACCCTATGTGGAGCTACAAAGGGGAAAAATATCCTATTGTAATCTGTAAATGATATGAAGATGGGTGAATCACAGAAGACCTCCCCCATCAGATCAAACAATAGTTCTTAGTTGAGAAAGTTGGGACAAAATACCCAAACAGCAACATGAAAAGTGTACACAGTAATTTCAGAAACTGATTTGTTAACATTTTAAACTTACAGAGATATTTCTTGGAACAGATGTGTATGAAGTCTCACTGGCTACCAGAGACATTGAACCTTTATTGAAAACAGAGAACTCTCCTGATGGCATCTTTCATGTCTTTGCTCCTCAGACTGTAGATTATCGTGTTGAACAGTGGGGTGAGGACAGCAAACATCAGGATGGTGGCCTTGTCCAGGAGAGGTGCGAATGTGACAGAGAAACGCAGGTACATGAGGACCACACTGCCAAAAACAGCAAGAAAATAGCAATGTGGGCTGCACAGGTGGAGAACGCCTTCTGACGGCTCTCCCCTGAGGGAATCTTCAGGATCATAGTGATGATTCTTAAATATGAAAGGCTGTTGATAGACACAGAAGTCAGGAAGGAAATAGCATGGATCACATCTTCGACCAGAATCATGGACATGTCCGTACAGGCCAACTGCAGCACAGGTTCAAAGTCACAGAAGAGTTGATGGATTTGGTTCGGGCCACAGAAGGGAAGAGTAGAAATCCACACAATCTCTGGCAGCAGAATAAGGAAGCCAAAGATTCAAGAGCCAGTGGAGAGCTGGACACACAGCCGAGGGGTCATAATGGTTGCATAGCGGAGGGGGTTGCAGATGGCAACGTACCTGTCGATGGCCATCACTGTGAGGACTAGGGCTTCTGTGACCCCAAGCGAGTGTAAAAAATACATCTGCAGGAGGCAGCCAGTAATGGAGATGGTCTTCTTCTCACTGATGAGGTTGGAGAGCATCTTGGGAATGGTGGCTGTGGTGTACCCGATCTCCAGGAAGGAGAAGATGCTGATGAAATTGTACATGGGATTGTGGAGACGAGTGTCCAGCCGGACAGCAGAGAAGATCGTGAAATTTCCAACAATAATGAACACATAAATAAACAGCAGAGGAACGAAGAGTAAGAGGCTGCCGTTCTCAAACTGAGGGAAATCAGAGAAACAGAACTCGGCCACCACTGTCCGGTTCTCCTGATCCATCTTTTCAGTGGGTTTTCTTGTTTGCTGATGAATCAAATACAGACAGTCAGAACCCCTCCTGCATTCAAATAACACATAGCTCAAGAGCTTTGAAATGAGGTCCATTAAGTAAAATATGTATGTGGGTTGCTTTGCAAACTGTAAAGTGATCCTGTCTAACTTGCAAATACTTATCAGTAATTATGATATCTTACATTATCACCTATTCTGTAGCTAAGCAAATAATTTTGTTATTTGGACATTTAATTTAGTACAAACTCCTCTGAGTGGCATTTTGGCAATTTTTATTGAGACTCTTGAGACTGTTTACAGCCTGCCTTTCACCATAGAGCATAAGAAAAATATTTTGAATATTAAAATTTAAAGATTGATTGGAATATTTATTATAATAGCAAATTAGAAACAACTTAGGTAAGGTAGGCATTTTTATTGTTTGAGATGAGATGTTGAAGACATAAAAAAATGAGTTGTGACAAAATGGTTCCCTCTGTGGGTAAGAATAAGACCATTTAAAGAGTGTCTTGGGACACCTGGGAGGCTCAGTCGGTGAAGCGTCTGCTTTCGGCTCAGGTCATGATCCCAGGGTTCTGGTGTCGAGTCCTGCATCAGGCTCCCCGCTGAGCTGCTTCTCCCTCTCCCTCTGCCACTCCCCCTGCTTGGGATTTCTCTCTCTCTCTCTCTCTCTCTCTCTCTCTCTCTCTCTCTCTCTGTCAAATAAATAAACAAAATCTTTAAAAAATAATAATAAAATAGAGCAGGTGTCTTAAACAAGGAAGTGTCTGTACAGGCTTCCCTTGACCAGCCTCATTATCAACCAATGAGTAAAAAGATAAAGCCAAATATAATACTCATTTTAGTTTACTTTAAAATATAACAGCTTAGAGCCATGCACTATGTCTGTGTGTGCAAATTCACCTTAACTTGTACCAAAGGGGATTAGTTAATAGTTGTATACAAATCTAGAAATCAGACTCTAGGAGTGGTTTGGTGACATTTGAAAGACTCAACAGTGGTCTACATCCAACAGCAGGTCTGGCAAGAGCTTCAGATACCCATATCTGTACCCACACCATCGGGTTCATTAATTAGCACAGAGCAGATCTGCTCGAGAAACTGACATTTGGACCAGGTAATTCTTTGCTGGGGGTGAAAGGTGGGAAGCTTTCCTGTGCATTGTAGAATGTTTAGCAGCAATGCTGGCCTCTGTCTACTAGGTGTCAGCGGCACAAGCCCCTTTAGCCTATCATGATCACCAAAATGTCTCTAGAAATTGCCAAATGTCCCTGCAGGGAAGGAGAGGGAGTAAAATTGCCCCAGTTGAGAACCAGTGGCATATAGAACATTAGAATTCGTGGGGAGTGAGGGGGTACTGAAAAACCCAGTGACCAAGATATGTGGATTGGCTAGAAATATACCTAAACTTTCCCCTGAGGTGATAAAATAAGACAGTGAGCCAAGCCACCTCTAAAGCTGGGAGGGCGCGGTAGGTCCATGATGTGTCCAGTCCTGTGATGCCCCGTAACAGAGATCCATCACCTGATCTCCAGCACCGCGTCAGCTTCTCTACCAGGGAGAATTATTAAATCTTATCTTTGATGGAGACGTTTATTCCTTCTTCTAATCAGAGAGCCGAAAGTACAGAGATTTATGGGTGAAGGGGATTAGGAGGCACCAACTTGCAGTTGTAAGTCATGGGAATGAAAAGCACAGCACAGGAAACAGAATCAATAGAATCAATGATATTTTCATAACAGGGCACAGCGACAGAAGACAGCTACACTTATCATGGTGAACACTGCATAACATATACAATTGTTGAATCACCATGTTGTGCACCCCAAACCAACATGACATTGTATGTCAATTATATTTCAATAATAAAGAAGAGAGAATAGAGTTGGGACTTGCGTGAGCTTCTAAGAACAACTTTGATAATGTTTTCTGTGCCTGCTTACTCATAAACGTTTGCAAATGGGGCAGAATTCTGAGACTTGCCTCCACTCTAGGAAACCGCCTGGGGGTGACGTTGTTAGAAACGGAACTCCACAATGACATGACGTGACTGTGGTGTGACAGGAATCATAGTGCAGTATACGATCCCAGCACATCAACGTGCACACTTTAAGCTTATGCAACGTTAAATGCCAATTATATCTCAATTTTTTAAATTAAAATATGTAAATGGAGAAAACTACTGCTATCTACCAAAAGGAGTCAGACAATTGTGAACTGGCAAAAGATATAAAAAGTAGATAAAATTCTTTTGAAACCAGAATACCAGAGGATTTAAACAGAAAGTCAGCTTGGCATATGACAACCAAATATTTTTAGTTTATTTTTGTTCTCGTTTTTTATAGATACATTAGAATATTACATCTGTGTTGGAATAGGAGAAATATAAGAGACAAAATTTCCCTTGGTTTTTCTTTAAGAAAACTTCTACCTAAAAAAACAGAGATTCACAAGAAAACATAATGTATGCTCTGATGGTTTCTTGCCTTAATTACTCTTACCTAGACTCACTGTTTTCAAACTTGATTTGTCCCAGTTTACCCTCCACCCAGCTTCTGGAATAATCTTTCTTAAATACAAAGCTGTCAATACTGTGTCTGAAAACAGACCTGGAGGTGGATCACACAGGCTTCCAAATAGAGCCTGAACTTCTTAGCATGATCAATAATATGAATGTATATGAGATTTTTTAATCATTTTGGCATCCCAATATCTCTTGGTTCTATTACCCCCTATATGATTTCCTCAAATGACAGAAGTTAACACTCTTTTAATGTTCTCGTTTCTTCTCTCAGAGGCAGATGGGAGATAAATAAGGAAATTAGCACTATGCTCAGTGGCAGTACATTTTGGAATTAGGAGATGGAAACTCAGAAAAGGAGAAAACTGGCAAGAGAAACTACTCTGAAAGAGAAGAGAAACTTGAGTCTTTCAGAAGGAAAGAACATACACATAGGAAGGCAATTTGAAGTTACTTGGGCCCAAAACCATATCTAACTGGACTCATATATTTTCTGGAAGAATGGATGGCCTGGAATCTCAACTAGAAAGCTCTGCGGGTTGCCACAGCATTGCTTTATCTTAAGAACATTTTCTGATTTTCAACTTTTTGAGGAAACTCCGTACTGTTTTCCAGAGTGGATACACCACCTTGCATTCCCACCAACAGTGTAGGAGGGTTCCCCTTTCTCTGCATCCTTACCAACATCTGTCGTTTCCTGACTTGTTAATCAAAAAAGAGCATTTTTTGACTTGACTAAATAAAATGCAAGCATCCTACATCAGAATTTAACCCAGAAATCAGTGGAGGTGAAAAGAGTCATAGAGCTAGTGGCACAGACAAAATTTAATAGATGTTTGTTTGGTACAGCCGTCAGTCCTGGGACACAAATCCACCAATCCCTCATCCCTGAGCTATGGTCTTTCCCCCTACCTCATGTGTCTGTAAAACCTCAGTGAAGTTTCCACAGGTCTTCACTGAAAACCAACAGAAAAAATATTTGGGTTCTGTGGCAGTCTTCCCCAATATATAGCCAAAGATGCCGCCCATGCACCCTCCAAAGTACAGAGCCCACCCCTCATCCCATAGCCACCTCTTTCAGGACCTAAGGGGCCACCTCTGTTTGCCAAATGTCTTCATCTCCATCGTTCTGAAGTCCAGCAAACAGGACTGTTATAACTGCAACCACGACGCTGGGTGTCTCAGGGAATCATCCAATGGGAGAAAGGCTTTCTTCAGGAAGGTTCTCCCCAGCCCCTGGGAAAGCAACTCCATGTCCCATGTGGTTAGTTAGGGGAGAACTTGCTGCCATGCTTGCCTTTTGTGAGGTGGCCCCACCTTCAGGAAGCTAGGTCTTTGAGTCAGGCTAGACCTCAGAGGGAAAGAGACACCTGGTTTTCTTTTCTGTTCAAGGGTTGAGAGAATTGTTTCTATATGAAGTATCTGCTGAGACAGAGGAAGGATAAGGAACACGAAGAGTCGAGCTCACAAAATGTGGTTTGAAGACAGAACGTTTTCTCCACTTCACAATGAAGCAGCAGTTCAGTGACATACAGCGGCTCTGAGGGGCACGATTGAAGATTCTGCCAGCAGTGGCCCAGCATGGCTCTGCAGAACTTCCCAGGGGGGTCCAGGGGGTCACAGGGCCATTAGCAGTCATGGCAGGAATGAGGGGCTCCCGTCCACGTATGTCACATGCTTCAGTGGTCCCAGCGGCAGGTGTCCCTAAGGGGCTGGAAAGGAAAGGGTTTGAGGACAGCCTTTCTTGCCACAGGAAAGATACATCGATGAGCACATGCAAGCTAGCCCTTGGAGAGAATTGGGGTTCAACAAGCCCCCCACATAATGAGTGGGGAATACAACCAGAGGGATTCCTTCCTTCCTTCCTTCCTTCCTTCCTTCCTTCCTTCCTTCCTTCCTTCCTTCCT